TCATATTGTAGTAATTATTCAAATTTGTTATATATGTCTGTTTTGATTCAAAATTTCATGTAACCTATTATATGGTTAAAATAATATTGTTCTTCTTTGATGAATTTCTCATTTCTTGTTTCAAAAAATGTTGGGGAACTAATAAGCGTTTTTCTTATATAAATTTAAATAGTTTTTTATCTCTTGTTGACAAAGGTAGATTATTTTTGATTATAATAAATTTTTATAAACAAAGGGCTATAAGTTATCAATTAATAGTTTGAAATACTTTACAAATTAGTAATGCAATTTTTGTAGAACACAATAGTCTCTACAATAATTGTACGGTTATAGGTTATAAAGGAACATTCGATATTTAGCAGATTTTTGTATTTTGTATTTGATACAATATCATATTTATAATAGAATTGGAATTAAGAGCGATATAGAAAAACCGGCAATGATAATAATTATATCAAAAAAAATATTACAAAAATTATTAATATTTCATGATATTCGTTCCGTACCCCAAGCTTCCCGTTTATTTGGTATCTCGTTCATAAATAGATTAAAGGATACAAGAGCAACAGATCGGCCTTCGCCTCAGCAGTTCGGTACAGTCTCAAACGGGTATTAAACTATTTAATTTACAGGTTGTGGCAATTAAGGGGCGCCAAACGAATGAAATAAAAAATGTGTTTCTCACACAAAAAGAAACACCTTACGAAGGAATAACGCCACACCGCCGCAACGCCACAACGCTCTCGATAGCCCGAGACGGAATGAGGTACGATAATCGGAGATCCCACGCGGGAGCTGCGCTATATAAGGGTCAGAACCACATCGGAACCAAACAATAAATTAATTTGAAAAATTTGCTTTATTTGACTTAAATACATACATCGATTTTTATATAAAGATACAAAGTGTATACACCTGTTCTGGGAATATTATTCTACAACCATAATATAATATTGTTGGCATATATATATATATATATATATATATATATATATTTGTTTCAATTAACTTATATAATTATGAAAAGAGCTATCAAAACATTCTGCCATCAAGTGTACCACATCGGAACCCAATATAATAAACCAAATATTTTTTCAAATTTTACTCTTCCAAACTAACTCTATATTTTTCATTATTATTAGTTCAAAAATATTTTAAGAAAACGATTATTTTATTTAATTTGCCCAGAACACTCTAAATTTTGCTAAAATAGCAATCAATTTACATCTATACAGGGGTCAGAAAGGTTTCGTGTTCACATCACGTCGGGGTCACCAATTATATAGTTTTACGAACTATATATTTATTTTTTAAATGATTAAAACACGATTTATCTTTGATGAAGATTTAATTCGATCAGAAAATACGAACATTTAAACTTACGAGATCAAACAATATTTTATTGACGTATATAACAAAAGATGATTATGATTACTAAGATCACTTTTGGCTAGATGTCAGGGGACGCCATACATCGATAAAGATTTTGAAAGCAATTGCGAAATAAATAAAAATGCATGTTAAAATAGGTCGAGAAAAAATAATTTAAATTTTACTCTATTTAGAGACTATGAAGTATTATCTAAATTTTATTAAAACAGCAATCAAAACACTCATAAGATTTTGATAGCTTTGCAAAATAAATAAAAATGTTTGTTAAAATTGGTTAAGAAAATATAAATTGAATTTTGCTCTATCTGGAGAAGACTATGAGCCACACTCTAAATTTTATTAAAATAGCAATCAAGATACATCTTATAAGCTTTTGAAAACAAATGCAAAATAAATTAACAATGTATGTTGAAATAGGTTGAGAAAAATAATTTAAATCTTACTATATGTAGAGAAGACTATGAAGCACACTCTAAATTGTACTAAAATAGCAATCAATATACATCTTATAAGATTTTGAAAGCTATTGCAAAATAAATAAAAATGTATGTTAAAATAGCTTGAGAAAACATTATTTTAATTTTACCATTTCTAAAGAATGGGACTATATAGCCTCTTTTCAATATAAATTACAACTTTTCAATATAAAGGACTTTTCAATATATATTATGGAGAACCTTAATTTTTACCTAAGTAATTTTTTCGAAGGTTGTCTCATCATTTTTGGTATAATTTGGAATATTATCTTTTATTGCTTATTTATATTGTGGGATTGAAAAATACGTGCAACCCTCAGTTTTTACCCTCCGACAATAAATCTCTATTTTATTTATCCAATAATTTTTCATCCATCTCGATAATTGCTCATTTACTGTTGAGGGTTTTGGGTCAATAATAATAATATAAAACTAAATATGAATATAAAAATTAATTTATAATTATTATATTAAGGTGGCTAAATCTTATATTAAAGTGGTGACAATAATAAACGACAATATTTTTTCAATATAAAGCTTATGGAGAAGCCTAAATTTTTCATAAAAAATAGTAATTTTATCAAGGGTTGTCCCAACATAACGAACCTCTCGTAAAATTTAAATCTATATCATTTATAGCATTTTTTATAATGCAAGATTTTATCCTCCTATCATAAATCTATTTTATTTAATTTTTATTTTATTTATCCATCTTCAAAAATTGCTCATTTACGGTTTTATGGTTTGAAATAATTATATATATCTACATATAAATATAAAAATTAATCCATATACATATTTAAAATTATATGTGTCTGTAATATATAAATGATGTGTAATTTGCGAAATTATTAGGTATGTATAGGTACATGCTAGGGAAGGATTTTTGCATATTTTTATTAAAACCTAGTGATTGAGGTTTTATCGAATATTGCTTATATATTGTATACAATTGGTGAAACATATATAGCTATGAACAATATTTTAACATGCATTTTGATATAAGTATAAAACCGTATTTTGGGTTTATTTTTTTATTTATTTCATTATGTTTAATTAATATTTAAAAAGATAAAATACAATTAAATGAATGACATATTAGAGTCAGGGATGTTTAGGTAATCATTATTTATCACTTAAATTTTGCATTATATTTTTAAATTTTAAAAGCAAATTACCGACAAATTGATGAATTTCCAAATCTAAGAGGTAAAACTTATTTTTTCAAAACACATGCAATTTGAAAAATATTGCATTTACCGTATCTTGTAGCTCTCTTTAGAAAGAAAGGAAATAAATATGTATTTTGGAAGGGCATTGCTTAACTAATAGTATATTTGCCATAGTAACATATATTTTAAATACTTAGAGCCACTTTGAACAAAAAAATCTATTTAATTTAACCTTTACAGTTCGTTCCTGCCTGTTGTTCCCGAGCATACCTCTACTTGGTTACAAAGGAACCGAAACACCTATATTCAGTTCATTCAAACCGCGGCACCCGCAAGGTGTAATACTAGCATTAAACGATATAATAAAACGTTAAATTTCTTAAATAGTCACCGACAAAGAACAAATTACATATATACAAATAACAATTCATAAATTTGTAATTCAAATTTTAAATATAATCTAAGTTAAAACCATGCAACGCGATAAAGTGCTCACGAATTGGAAAGTTAGAACCCGATAATTGGGGGCGAAAATAAAAATGTGCAAAAAAATAATTGTAATAAGTAAAAGAGTAATATTAAGTAAAATATGTTGTTGAAGTGGATGCAGTTGAAATTTATTTATGTCTATTTATTTTTGGATTATGCTCGCTCTATACGATGGCGTGTAAGTTAATTTTTAAAATTTATTAAAAATTATAGTTTATAGAGATACAGAAAAATAGACACATAAATCAGCATTGGTAATGAATTTAATATAAAAATGTTTTGCGAAAATAAGGAGGGGTGTAATGACATTAGATTACTTTCTAAATGATATATATATAGTTGCATAGAAATTGTCATTTTTGTAATCATCCTCTAATGACTAGAATCTTTAAATGATCAATTCTTAAAAATATCTATATAACTTAAAAATGTTTTTTTTTTTAATTTTATTTAAATGCTCTTTCTTATTTTGATGTGAAATTTATTGCTCTTTTTGTTATATTGGTAAACTTTTTTATTTTATTTTTAAATTTGCAATTTTTTTACACCCTCTATTTATAATGTTATAGAGAATGTGTTTTACCATGTTCTACATTTTTATATGAAAGAGTTTATTATGTCCTCTACATTTTTATATGATTAATTTCTGCATCTAGTAAATATTATTAGCATAACACATAGTGGATATATAAACTTATATTGCTATATTATATATATATATATATATATATATATATATATATATATACAATTATTTTTTATTTTTTGTCTACTTATTATTCTACTCCAAAAATGCAAGAGAAATTTTCTTGCACGCAATTTTGACATTAGCAGCTTAAGTAGTCGTTTTCGTGATGATTATCTAGGTATGTTTTTCCACATTTTTTGTAGCAATTTTCTCTAATATATATATTTTTGGTAAAATAAAATAAATCCCATACAGTTGTTGAAAAGTTCTAATCAGATTCCTGTTTGAATGGTGCGAATTAATTTCAATCGATTGAAGATGAGATTTTTTGTAGTTTTTTCTGGGTGATAAAGAAGCTAATTAAATGATAAAATACGTGGGACCAGTTTGCTTGTTTTGAGTTTTATATATCCCTTTTTAGCAATACACAAAATTATACAGTCTGGTTTTCATCTGAAACCTCTGAAGAACAAATATACTCTATTATATCTTGTATACTCTCAAGTGAACAGTAAAAGTTATTTTGTGCAAAAATAAATGTTATGGCAAAATAAATAGTTACATCCTAAAATTAATAACCTTTGGTTACTATTAATAAGGGATATTTTTAAAATTACGATATTTATATTTAGTTGATACTAAATATTCCTAACATTTCACTAAACTTACTTGAATTAATTAAATTTTTTATCATTCTCAAATTCCAGAAATATTTATTTCTTTTAGTTTATTTAATTTAGCTTTCTTTAACTTACTTAGCAGTCTAGTTTTATTACATTTTTATAACATGCTATAAATATAAGAATATATTTCTTCATATACTTCTTCGAGGTATTAGTAGTATTAAAATCAAATTAAATTTTAAGAGAAATATTAAGTCGATGATATAAAGAAAGTATAAAATTCTAGTCATGTATGAAAAATATGCTAATTTATTAAATTTATCCATTTTTGAGTATATTTCTACCAGCTAGTATACTAAAAACTTGCAAAAGATTGTATATGCAATGGATTGAGGAATTCCTAAAGTATTTACAAAGCCTTTGACGCTGCACTTTGACGTTTGATGTTAAATTATGACGTGGTATAACTAAAATATCTGAAATAGCCGCGATATTATAGTTCAAGATGCGAGAAAGGAAAGGTTTTTGTATAATATATGCAAAGACGATGGGATTATGTTTGAGCAAAATGTTAAATAATGCTAAATATCTACACTAAATCTGAACAGGAAATATCTGCAATATATATACATATATATATATATATATACATATAAAATAGTTACAGATTATTATCTTAGTTTTCGCATTCAAAACGATATATCTCAAAGCCAACAATGTATGCAAAATATTGAAAATTTATTTTCATTGCAATGCAGTTTCCGCAGTATTGCGTGACAATATATAATATTTCTAAAAGAAAATTCATAATATTTAGTATAGTAAATCATATTATATAAGACAGAGAAAACTGTTACAAACTTTCAAAGAAAAAAGCCTTAAACAATCTGTAAATAAATTTTCAGAATGCATTCTCTTGTGAATGAATATTATTGATATGTAGTACCTATACTTACAATTAGACTATATATATTTAGACTAAATTAATAAAACAATTTTTGGAGCAAAAACTATAATGTTTTTATAGTATGTACTTGAATTTATAAATTTTCATTAAATTATTATTTATTAATTATTAATTATTTCATCAAAACTTAAAAACAGACAACTATTTGACTGATTTCAGATATTTGACAATTGTGGATAAATTTTTATTCATTTATCTTAAATTTTCAAATTAGGTTTAATTTTAATATTTATACAAAAAAGTGCATTATTTTAATTAATTTATTGTAGGTCATTATTTTCTTCATTCACTCCTATAAAAAAGTATTAATTTTGAAACATATTTTGCAGATAAAGAATTTATATATATATATATATATATATATATATATTGTATATATATATATATTATATATCTAGAAATACCTAAATCAATAAAAAAATTAAATGAATAACAAATATTTTAATTAAATTATTTTAGGTCAGCATTTAATTTTTTTTAATCCTATGGACTATTAAAAGTTTAATTTAAAAAAAATTTACTATCTTAAGTGTTATATTCTTAATCAATTTATTTAAAGCCATTATATATATTGTTTGTTTATCTTATGAACAACATCAATTTTGAGGCAGAGAATTTTTGAGTATATTAATATTAACAATAAATTGTTGTAATTGATAATTTATTAAAAACAAATACCTAGGAAAAGTTGTACTTTACTTTAATTTAAACTTGTACTTTTTAAGAAAATGTTCTAATAATATATATGCAAATTAAGTTTGCAATTAATATTAAAAGATATTGCCAAATTTTTTAATATAAGGCATCTACTATAATTCAAGTCAATATTTTTTAATAATAAGAAAATAGAAATAAAACGTTCAAAAAATTATTAACTTACCATAGGGCAAGTTATAGTAATCGCAAAAAAATCGAAAATGAAAATTTTTATATATTTTTACGTTTCAAAATCTTCTGAACATTTTGGCATACCTTAGAAAAAATGGATGCATGTGTGTGTGTGTGTGCGGATACATATTTTCGTCGACGATTTTGGGAACTCGGGTGAAGCGATTTGTGTATTTCAAAAAACATTCGATTCGTATTGATAAGGAGACGTGCTGAATAGTTTTTGGCTTAAAAACAGGTCTACCCGTTCCGAAGATATGGGGCAAAAAGTGCCAAAAACGGAAACTCAGTTTTTAAGAGAACGGATCGTTCGATTTTAATAATTCAAAAAAACATTTTACTTGTATTAACAAGATGAAGAACTGATCAAATTTTCATGAAGGCACGTCTAGCAGTTTCGGAGACCTAGTGAAAAAAGTAAAAAAAATAAGTTTCTCAAAAATCTATTTTTTTCAGAGTAATTTTTTTTCGAAAATGATAATCTTTTAAAAAAAAATAGTTTTTGGTACGGGAAGTTCCAACAATTTGCCTTAAGGCACGGTTACATGCGCCCCACTAGTTTTAAATTTTAGTTTTTCAATATCATCTACGTTTTTATAAAATATGCCAAGATAGACCACTGTTTCATTTATAAACTCTAAATAATACCAAACATCTGTCTACTCCTACTTGACAAAGTATACCACTTTTTCTTCAATAATCCCAGGATTAAACTTATTCTTAAAGAGTTCATTTACATTATCCGGTCTGGCTAATAGATTGTAATCATCCCACGTAATTCCTAAAGGAAACTGACATCGCTCTAGTAAAAATTTCTGGGTTTAATAAACACTCATATTGCATAATTAAGTCCCCGTCTGTCTGTATGCGAATTAAGAGACTGATATCTCGTACATTCTTGTTCATTCATATTCATTTAATCCACTGTACCATTTTAAGTTGAGCGGAAATACAGTTTTAGGTGTCTTGATGATGATGACAATGGACAAATGCTTTAGACAGGGGACCAGTAGTAATGGTAAATTGGTAAAAGAATTTTTAGTTTCAAAATTTGATACAAAACACAGAATTAACTAGTTATAAGTAGCATGATGCCTTCAGGAAAATTACATTAAATTCCCTTAACGTATACATAACCAACTTAATAAGAATTGAGATTCAGGTATAAGGTAAAATGTTCAACTGTTGGTAAAATGGTAAAAGAATTTTTAGTTTCAAAATTTGGTAAAGTAGATAACTCAAAATTAACTAGTTATGAGTAGTATAATGCCTTAAGGCAAGTTGCATCAATTGCCTGATACGTATACATAACCAACTTAATAAGAATTGAGGTTCAAGTAATTGGTAAATTGATCAACTGTTTACTACGAAAAAAATGTTTTACTTTGGCTAGATATTAATCAATGCGATTTTCAATATTCTTCAAATTATAAATTTAATTAATTTGCTTACCACATCTTATTTTATCCATTTCATGTCAATGAAACACAGAACGTTCATTTGTCTCGACATAGATTCTGATTAGAATCTATGTCACAGTCTAAACTTTGATGAATTTTTATAATTCAACCACTTATCGTAAGCCTATAATATTTTAGTATGGTAATTTAACTGGCAAAATCTGTCGTTATACAAAGTTTCATAAAAATCGTTGAAAACAGTTTTTTTTCAACTTTCAATTGCGACGAAACATCCTGGCCGATTTTTATGAAAAACTAATCAATGCAATTTCCAAATGATGTTCTTCAAACTCACCTATGATATCTATAATCGTATAAATGTAATTAATTTATTAACTTTCCGTAGGTTAAGTTATTGTAATTGTTCAAAAATCGAAATTGAAATTTTTTGCACTTCTCGACGTTTTGAAGGTTTCTGAACATTTTGGCATACTTCAGAAATAATGGATGTGTGTGTATGTATGTATGTATCAACGGATCAACCGATTTGAATGGTTCAAAGAACATTCGATTCCTATTGATAGGGAGATGTGCTGATTAGTTTTTGGCAAAGGCAGGCCCCGCAGTTACGAAGATAAAGAGCAAATAGTGCAAAAAATAGAAATCGAGTTTTTGAGAGAACGGAGCATCCGATTTGAATGATCTAACAAACATTCAATTAGTAATGATTAGGATAAGTGGTTATTAGTTTTTGGAAAAGGCAGGCCCAGCCATTTCGAAGATACAGAGCTAAATCTGCAAAAAATGGCAGTTTTGGAGGGAACTAAGCGTCCCTGTTTTTCAGGGAAAAAAATTTTTTTTGTCGGAAATAATTCAGATTTTATTTATAATTCTAACTAAAGTTCTAATATACTTTAAAGAAATAATTTCAACTTTGCAATTCAGTTTATATAATTTTTATAAATATCATACAATCTTACAATATTTATAATAATCTATTTTTCGAACATTTCGTTACGGTACGGGAAGTTCCAGCAATTTGCCATAAGGCACGATGCCATACACCCCACTAGTTTAACATAATTTTCATCTATTTGTATAAATTTAATTAATTTGTTTAACACATTTTTTTTCATTGAATTCCCGTGAACGAAATACGAATGTTAGATTCTGATTAGAATCTACACAAAAAAGCGGAAAATTCTAAACTTTGATAAATTTTTATATTTTAAGCGCTTATCGTAGGACTGTAATATTTTAGTATGTTAATTTAACCTATAAAATCTATTGTTATAAAAAACGTCAAAAAATTTCTACGAAAGTAGACGAAAAATTCAAGTTATAAACGAAGTAACATTTGTGTAAAACCAAGTACAACGTAAGTACTAAAACCAACTACATATGCTTAATTATGAAATATCACGTTATTATAAATATTATACCAGTAAAAAATCTGAGCAAAATAAATTATTTTTCATTACTATAAATTAATATTAATTAAATCCAACTGGTTCGTTGCGGATCCCACGAGTATTTTCACCGAGAATATAGGAATAATACTCGTCCGATAATCCACGGATTCGCCACGCCAGTTGTACCTCTTAATATTTATAAATTACAACTTTACAATTCATAAATTACGCCAACGGTAACAGCCATGAAAAGAATATTGATAATTTACGATTCGACATGCCATGCCGATGCCATACTCAAAGCAGGATTACGTTAATTAAAAACCGAAAAATGAATACCTTCCTGATAGTCAGAATTCGTTTGTTGTCCGGTTAAAAATGGAAAGATAACAAAAGATAACAAAAGATAAAAAAAATCCTTGTTTAAAGTGAAGATATCTGATTCACAAATCTGCAATTGAACTAATTAACCAGGTGACCAAGATTGATGAGAATAAAATCCTCTTCGTGGAGAAGTGGCAAAATTTTGGGTATTAATGGGTATATTTGTCTTGCATATAAACCAATGATCAGAGTTGCAATTTTATAGATGAACAAAACATTTCTTAAATTTTTTCACCATCAGAAGAATTTGAAGATCTACAAGCCTTAAATAAACTATCTCAATATCATAACATTTTTTCTTCGAGTTATTGCATTACATAATACTATGTTAGGATTAATATTGTTAAATTCCCGTAGAGCAAGTTATAGTAATCGCAAAAAAATTTAAAATGAAAATTTTTATATATCTTTACGTTTCAAAACCTTCTGAACATTTTGGCATACTTTAGAAAAAAATGGATGTATGTGTGTGTGGTGTGTGTGTGTATGTGTGCGTGTATGTGTGTGTGTTCGGATACAAATTTTCGTCGTCGAATTCGGGAACACAGATAAAGCGATTTGAATAATTCAAAAAACATTCACCTTTCACCCATCATTTTTCATCTACTCGATTTTCATGTCTCGATTGTAATGACTATAAAATAAATCTATAAAAACTAAATTAGTTAACTAATTTTTTTCACTAATTTCTTCTATCTTTCACCAGAGGTTTGAAACACTTCTCCTCCGAATCTTTCGACGAGGGTTCGGCGTGCAGGCAGGCTTTGGGCATGTCGCCGCGTCAGACTGCTCTATGTCTAGCTGCCCTGGACACAATGCCCCATGTCGCCAGAGCAGCTCAGTTGACACTGGAAGCCTGCTCCACACTTTTGGAGGACAGGAGATGGAATTGCTCCAGTGCTTTTAACGCTCCTGTTTTAGGACCTGATCTTGCCAGAGGTAAAGTGTAAATAAAATAGGGTAGGCGGGCGGGTAAAAAGATCTTTTACATAGCCATTTTAAAAATCAGTAAAGTTAAGAATTTTTGAACAACAATATTTGAAAGTAGAGGGAAAAAGATGTTAAACCATTCACCACTTTGATTTTTTCGACGTTGCCATCGGGAGAAAAACGGCAACGTTTGAAAACTCATAGAAAATGTATTTTCTTCCCTTGTTAGTTTTTTCGGTTGTGAGCACTGTTGCTCGGTTTACGAAACGTTAATATGATTTTTTTAAGTAAACGTTATTACACCTAGGTGAGGTAAAAAGAACCAACTGAACTTTTATCTTGACAGAGATGTAAAAATTAAAAATGCCTAATGTATTAATATATTTCTTTAATGAACATAGTTAAATGATGAAATAATAATTTAAAAACCTTTGTATCAATATGTAAAATTCAAATATTTTTAGTTGCATTTGAACGTTTTGAAAGTAAGTTTTTTTCTTAAAATGTGGAATTTTTTATTCACATTATTAATAATATAAATTAAACAAAAAGATTGAAAAATATGAAATTAAACAACGAAACCAGTGTACAAACAAGATTCATAAAATGCAACTCTATTATCTAGCGTAAATAACAAATTTTTTTTGAAGTTATAATAATAGCATTAATTTTGAAAAATGTTACCAAAAACTTCAAAAATGATTAAGCATTATTATGCACAGTAGTATTTAAAAAAAATAAAAACAATGATTTAAACAAATATTTAATTACTGCATCAAAAATACTAAGTGATAAAAAACAGGAAAGAACATATAATGATTTGTAGTCAATCTGACACTTAATCCAAAAGTAAAATTCCCTTCCAAATTGTCGCAAATTAATTAGTCATTATTAAAACATATTTTTTCCGGTGATATACTTAAAATTTCAATTATTTTTCTCCCTTTTTCTTTTTTAGTCATATATCTTTGGTGTGAACTGGAGCAAGAATTCGATTAGTTTTAAAGTTAATGCTCGTGAGAGATTTTTGCTTGTGATAATATAAATACAATATCCAGCAACATACAACATTTTGAGTCGGTTATTGCATACAACACTCCCACATATGCAGATGGTGCAAATATGTACCTTCGGGCAGAATAAACTGTGATAAATTTCCAAAGTTTATTATATATTTTACACTAGGGATACACGTGGTTTGCGGAAAAGTTTTTGATCACATATATAAATTTAGAAATGTCGGAATAAACACTGATTTGAAAAAATATATTACTTGTTCTGGTTAGCATTGACATGCAGAATGTGTAAAATCATAAACTCAAAAATGCGGACACACAAAACACACACACACTCATACATCCATTTTTCTGAGGTATGCCAAAATGTTCAGAAACCTTCAAAACGTCGAGAAATACAAAAATTTTCAATTTCGATTTTTGGATGATTACAATAACTTACCCTACGGGAAGTTAAAAATATCAGTGGAAAAACAATTCCGCCTAGTTAAGTTGGTTTTTGGCCACAGGCCTATGATTGTCTATACATGCTTAGATATAAATTATGCGATATACTGCAATTATAGGTGACATGTTCACTTGGACAGTTTTTCTACATAATATATTCTAAAAGTATATATCCCACACGGAATTTGTGCAAACATTGTAAGCATAATCAAGATACAAATTTATTATTCTATGGTATGCCAGCATAGAAGAAAAGCCCAAACCATCTATTTACGAATTTATTATATAAATTGAGAATAGTATCATGTTTTTACAGTTTGTAGCACTTTCTGTATTCATTAATAACAAACAAAATTAATATTTCGAAAATAGTGAAATATTGGAAACAACCTTAAACGTACAATAGAGGTCAAAAATCATAACATATCAAAAAACGCTGAATCGATAAAACACTTCTAAATAGTTTCAATTAAAAGAGGAACACAACAAAAAGTCTTTTTATTAGAATTATGAGGTTAATTCCATAATTTTGCAACATGTTACCTTGTATAGTTTATGTTGAGAAATTATCCAATTAACTGTATTAACAATATTTTATTTCTGTAGTTTTTTATTTCTTAGCTAATTTTCCACCAGCCTTCCCAACTATTCATTACTTCCATGCAGAACATATTTAAAAGCTTAACTAAAGTTGCATGTGATGCAAGGTGGCTTGTTGCAGACGTAAAAATTGTTATAAATGATAGTCTGAAAAGCTTTTGAAATGAATTATTAAATCATGTTTACACACAAAGTTTTAAAGACGTATAATATGAAAGAAGGTTATTAAGAAAACAATGATCGATGGCTATAAATTCACATTTTTATTTAATTAACTGCCTCAGCAAAATATGAAAGAAGGCGTAGGCTAATTTAAGAAAACTTGGGTAGTATATATATAACACTATATATATATATATATATATATATATATATATATATATATATACATATGTATGAAACCGATAAATGTAGTTGATAGATTGTGCTAAATACAGATTTTTGAATAACTATTTAGTGACAATATAAATTTTGGTTCACCATTTGGAACGTGGCAAACTTGTTATTAGTGACGATTATTATTTTATTTTTATTTCACTTTTCCACATCAACTTTTAACCAAATTGTTCCAAACACTTGCTCGAACATTTCTACATTTTTTATAGTAAAATCATTTTTCATGCAGAGAAGCAATTTTCACAGCTGCTTAAGTTACCAAGACCTTTCTCTTGAAAAATGGTTTTTCATGAATTTTTGATAGTTTATCCTACTAATTCTACAAAAACTTGGCGAGAGAGCTATCTTGTTTATTATTAATGAAATTGCTAGCGTGGTGATATAGGTAAATAGACAAGTAGATGATACCAGAATGGAATAATTTTTGTACACTTGTAGGTAGTAATATTACATAATAAATAATTTATTTATAATTATTCCACGCTTGTGAAATTACTATTCAATCCTATTTAATTCAAAATTATATTGTTATGTTGAATACCTAGAGCAAAAACATCTACGTGGAATCTTTTCAATGCTGTAGTGTTAGAAATTCAAGAAATTGTTTGAAGACTCGGTAGCGTTATATTTTATTAATTTAGAAAACTATCAGAATTTTGGAAATCTAAATCAAATTTTCTAATTTTTTTATCTTCTAGGTACAAGGGAGCAGGCATTCATGTACGCCCTAGGTTCAGCAGCAGTTACATTAGCCATAGCTCGTGCCTGCGCCGCAGGAGAGCTTTTCCACTGCTCCTGTGCACCACCTCCAGGTGAACCACCAGGTGGTAATTTTAAATGGGGCGGTTGTTCTGACAATGTTCGTTGGGGATCTTTGTTTGCCAAAAGATTTTTAGATGCCACGGAAAGAACTCATGTTACTGCAAGTGTTCTTCATGAAAGAAGAAGACGTCGGAGGAGGAGGCAGAGGAAGTTGAAAGATGGTAAATCTACGCCGTTTAAAGACAAGTAAGAAATTTATTGAATTATACAAGTAAAGTTTGTTTTAGCCAAATAATCTGTTTTGCTAATTTTATGTTTTCTTGACTTTGAAGTTTGAGACCAAAATTTAAAGAATGTATGTTTGTTTGTATCCATGTGTGTGTGTAAGTGATATGAGCCAAATTTTAACTTTTTATCCAATTTTGAGCTTAAATTATATGCTTAAACAATTAACATAGTATTATTTTATTTTTTTATATATTATAATTATTACTCCAGATTTGGCAAAATGACTGATGAAGAAACTGCTGCTCAAAATAAATTGTTCGACCAAGCAACTAAAAATGCTAGTAATAAAACGATCGCCAAAAAACGAAAATTACAAGCAGATCCCGACATGATCAAATTTCACACAAGGCTAGCCGCAATGAATCTTCATAACAACAGGATAGGCCGAAAAGTAATTCATTGTAATTCAAGTTATATTCACTATAAAAATCAATATAATTTATTTTTTATTAAGGTTGTTCAGCAATCCCAAGCAATTACTTGTAAATGCCATGGAGTATCTGGTTCTTGTAGTGTGAAAACATGTTGGAAAGCTCTGGAAGCTTTAACAGTCACCGGTCAAAAGCTCTTGAGGAAAATGGATCAGGCTGTGGAAGTTGCTCCACGTCGATTGGGCACAAGTAGGTAACAATCGAATAAAAACCAAAAAAACTGTGTTTCCATATGTTTTACAAATAATAGTAAAATATTTTGATTTGCAATATTAATGAGAATTGTAATTAAGATGAAATATTTATATTTCAGCTACTCAGTTATCTGGTGTGGCACCTGTAGTCACAGCACCGATGTCCAATCAACTTATTTTTTTGACAAAAAGTCCTGATTATTGTGAAGAAGATTTATCTGCAGGAAGTTTTGGTACCAAAGGAAGGTAAATTAGATATTTTGTTTGTTTGTTATTTGATCATGTAGAAGGATTGAGAGGTTGGAATAATTAGTACTATAATATGTTTACTTTTGGGATTATAGACTAAATTTGTTGTTTGCCTTATGAAAAATATTTTCCAAAATGATTGAAATATTTTAAATATTTTTTGAAGTAAAACTTCTTTAGGCGCGATATGGGTGTAAAAATTTCTTTAGGCTACACGGGTGTAATCCGTACAAATGCAACGAAAATGCCAACGTGTAGTTGAACACTACGACGCCGTAAGCGCTGATGTCGCGAGTATCCACTCATATCGCGTCATGTCATGCGTAAGTCGAGCGCTAAACCCTATATGAACTTGCATTAATTGAATCACGTTTTTTTTTACGTTTTTATATTTTTTATCACGTTTAAAAGAAGAGGTTGCTGTATTATGTCCTCATGGAATAAGACTTTTCTTAGAGAATAAATGTGCCATGGAATATAATAAATTTATATTGAATCTCGTTGAAGACAAAATATATCTACAGCCACGGATATTTATGTAGGTTTGCCATGCGACAGATCAACAATCATACATTCGTCAGCAGTTTCAAAAAATCGGTTATTGATACCGGGGCTTTGCCGTATGAAATAATTTTAGTTCTGAATAAATTTTACATAATAACAACTAATATTGATGTAAGTGATGGCTTAGCTAATGGTTGTGTGGGAAAATTAGTGTACATAGAACGTGGCGATGATGATGAACTTCTACGTTTATGGTTTGAATTTCCCGGTAAGATAGGTAACAAAATTAGGAAGAAAGCTTCACATCATATTCAAACTCTTATATCAGTAGGACAGCTGTGCCGATGCTCAGGAGATCTTATTATTATTGATGTTATATGATTATTAAAAGATGATTTTTAAAATTCAAATATGATGTTTTTTTTATTTTTATCTTAATTGCCTACTCATACAATATTAAAAGTTTTACTTCAATCGCGTGTGATCCTTACGCGCACTCTTTTTTTTTATTATATTATATCCTTTTCCAGGACCTGTTCGGTGGGTGTTACAGGACTTAGTGTTGGCAGCTGCCACCATTTGTGTTGTGGTCGTGGCTACAATACGGTTGTTGAAGAGAAAATAGAAAGATGTCACTGTGTTTATCATTGGTGCTGCTACGTTAAATGTAAACTTGTATAACTACCACCCAACGTCAAGAATGTAATTAAATAATAAAAAAAGGGAAATCGAAAGATAAACATTTTTCATCGAATTGAAAAGAAAAACGAAAGTTTCCTTGTTTTTGCAAAAAATGAGCATGCTGAGTACTATGTCCAAAGATTTAAACTAGAGTTACTTTTCGGGATTAAAAATAATATCTTACAACAACAGGCAATTCGCTATTAGAAAGTTTCCAAATTTTATTTATTATGAAATGCAATATTCAACAATCCCACTTGTAAAAGCCAGTAAAGTTCATTTAAAACTAACGAGTAAAAGTTTGCTATATTGGCGTAATTAATTAAATTAATAATTGAAATCTATATTCATATAAATATTTAATATTACGTTTTGTGAATCAAAAAATATAATTTTATCTCAGCTTGCACTAGTTGTGCTCAATGATTCCCAAAATATCAAGAATTGTAAATCATTTCAAAAATTCATTTGTATATAATTATCATATTCATTCACTTAATTTTAGAATTATATAAAATGTACTGCAACTCTATGGTAAATTAAGCTTATTTATATTAAATAATATTGATAAGAGAAATCGTCAAAAAGCATTAGCTTTGCGTCATTAAAATGTTCTGAATATATAATATATAGTAAAGTTATATGTACCAATTCAAAATATCACTCATATATCTTCCAGTTTACCTCACTTTTATTAGTTTTTTTAATAAAAAATTAAAATATTAATATTTTATCCATAAAGCTCAAATTTTCAAATATACATTTCATACACGTTTTTAAACTAGTCGATGTATATTTAATATTTATCAAAAATAACAATAATTATACTACAAGTAAATAATCAGTGTATCATACTTCTACATTTTTTTAATTATCATTCAGATCTCAAAATAAATCATAATAAATCTTATGCATAAACAAATTCTCTATTGTTTTATTTCAGTATGCAATTTTAAATCAAGTTTGACGTAGAAATATTAAATTTTTGTTAGATTTTTGTTTTGTAAAAATATTTTTGTATGTGTATTTTGTATTTGTAAAAGTATGGATAATCGTGCATTACAAGAAGAGGCTGCTCTAAAATATCAGCAATGGAGAGAAGAAACGGTAAAAATTACTTATTTAAAATATACAAAAAATCAGAATCAATAAATAAATTTTAGTAGTAGAATTTTTAAGTGGAAAGAATAGCAGTGAGGGCTACATATCACAGTGGCAGTTTTTTGCCACGAATTATATAAATGTAGAATGGACTAGATACATATATAGGAAATGTATATATGAAAATTATTTCAAAATCTTTTTTACCAGGCACCCCTGCCTGACTAAGATATAACAATATTATATCAATAAAAAAAATAAATGCATATATCATATACTACTCTGTTTATGTTAGAAGAAAATAAATAATTATCAAAATCATTTTTATGTGCTTTTCAAAATATTTGCTTTATGGGTTTAGACTTTCAAGTTTTGTTACATCTTACATTTGTATATAAATACCTAAGAATCTTTCATACATTATCTTATAGTAAGACAACTCCTATATTATATGATTTTTAGGCAAGAATTATTAGCCAAAGTGTTTTAATATAATGAAATATATTATATAAGAAAAATATATTCATTCAAATCCCTTCCTTAAATTATTTCTAATATACAGATCCGAAAAAAGTATCCCTTGTTAGCTGAACCTCCCATGTCATATTTTGGCCCTCGTTCTGGAGATGGTTCCGGTGAACCTGTCGCCCACGTTGGTGCCTTTGATGCCTTATTTTTGTCTTATGAACCTCTTGACATTCGGGCAAAAAGAGGTGACAGAAAACGAGGTGCAATCGTGGAAATGGGAATTGCTGAAGAAGTAAGCAATATAATAAAGGAGCTATAATTAACAATAGAAAAATAGGGTAGATTTATTGTAAAATTGGATTTTTCTAGGCTTATTGGACGCATTTGAATGAATTTATATACCAAAATATGGTATTCGATAAGTTTTTGTTTAGCAGTTTTCGTCAATTCCAATAAGGCTACAACTTGTTTACAGCAAAGTAGCTTAAAATAGTCTAATTTCAACACACAATACTAAATTAGTAAATTTTCAATTAAACATATAGTGGATGTTTTATCATTGCCATCTAAATAAGTAATTTTCAATGGAAGTGCTAATAAATAATAATAAATATATTATCTCAGGAAGGAGCTCGAGTGATTCCATTAAGATCTTCAGCAGTGCACGGTCATACAAAACATCTAAAAACCAATATTATTGATTTCTACCCTTTTTATCACGCATTAAAAGAACAATATCGAAAATGCGGTATAACATTCGATACTGAAGACAAAAGTTGGCATGTTTGGTAGATTGTAATATATACTAAAATTTACTAAAAAATATGTATTAAACATTATTTATAATTTTACGTGATGTAATAATCTGAAACAAAATTATATGTGCATCGATGTCAAAAGCAATGTTTTTATTTGATCATTAGAGAGAAGTTTTTTTGAACACCATATTTTTTATTCATTTACTATCATTTTTTGAGAAGGTTTAAATAAAGCTGGTAATACCATTATCAATATATTTGCAAATTATTATGTAACAATTTAAGTAATAAAATTAGTATCTCATGAGTATATATATTGATATTTAAATTTTGTTGAATGTGAATTACAAGGCTGTTCTACAAAAAACCTGGACAGATAAGCTCAGTATAAAAGACATTACTTTTTAGTGAAAGCTTATTTTAGTAGGTGCTTTATTAGCTTTATTTCTTAGCTCGTTTATTTAAAATATGACAATCAATTATGTTACTTTTTTGGTGTATAGTTTTGAAAAGTTTAAGAAATTGATTGAAATTATACTTAGATTGATCTACCTCAGCCAACAATAAAATATTCTGGGTCTATTACCTCAGAAGATTTGAGGTTGTATTGGTTAGACATGATATTGCCAATAAAGTTTACAAAGGTTTGAAAAAAACGAAAACTTAAACAATTATAAATAAATAATATTTATAGATCAATAAATGAGTTAATTTAATAATGTAAGAATCTTTAGAAATTGGAGATCCGAACAAACATGCAACAGTTATATGTTTTGCTTCTTCAGAGATGCCGCAGCTGTTATTTTCAAGTTTGATCAATTTTCGCTAGTATAAAAGAAAAACGGATATTTTGTATGTTTTAGTGAAAATTTAAAATATTTAGTGACGCTTTGAAAATACAAATGATTAGGTTCCGTACCATCATTTTTTCTCAAAAACTATTACTGCTTTATGATACTAACTGGTGAAGAAGCAAATCCATTTCCGATAGTAATAAATATTATGAATAAACATCAGAAAAATGCAATAAATGAATAAATGAAAAATAATCTATATTTCATATATGGATAAAACTCTAAAGTAGATTATTTGTCTATCAAATGCTCTAATCAAATTATTTCCGAATATGTACTGAATTTTTCTATAAACCAGCACATGTTAAATAATAATTTTAAAAATGTAAAATAAATCATAAAAATATTTGATAATATTATAAAAAATGAATAATATAACTTTTATTACATTTTAAAATCATTTCACATAAAATATTATAATTGAATATATTAATATTGAAAAGAGAATATGTGGAGAGAAAAGAGAATGGTTCTTACAACCTCATCATGATTGTAAATTACGTTCTATATGATTCTTTATTTTAACAAATAAATATCATTTATATTTAATTATTCTTAATTCTAAAACTGAACATGCTTAGGATTTAAAAGGACTCACCGAACAAGCACCGATTCTTCTGGAACATCTCGATTAACAATTTGTTATCACATAAAATAATATTGATTAAATATAAATAATAGTTGGTAATATATTCTGAAAATGAACAATTAAAAATAAAAAATAATTACCTCGATACTTCCAGAAGAAGGGTGATGAGGATCTTCGAGGTTTTTGAAACTCATCATTGTCCTCACATTTTGTACACTTGACTATCATGAACTAATATAATAACTAAGCACTATAAAAAATATACATTGAAAACTTGAAGTATTCAAAACTTGCAATAAACCGCACTGACGACTACAAATTTGTAAAATTTCAGACTTCACAAATTGAAATTTGGAGATGGGAAACCCCTGCAAAGATATATTGTGAAAATTAATAAGAATATGAACAATATTTAAGATTTGATTTATTTTTTTAAATTCCTACTATGTCTCAATTAATTGATAATCAATTAGCAGATTTTTTTGAACATATTATTTAGAAAATTCAAATGCACAGTACTATGTTCTTTGAGTGAATTACAAATGCTTATTTATTCCTCAATTTAAGAATCTGAAAAAAATAAGTAGCAAGATAAAAAGTAACCTTTTATGAAGTACCCATATGCAGATCTATTAACTACCTTTAAATTGATTTAAAATTTAATTTTTTAACTTTCTGAATTAATACATAGCCTTCTGCATTATTTAATAAATATTACCTAATATTATTCATTCAAAGTGATAAAATAAATTGATGATTCAATAGAGACTGTATAGCACATATGTTTTTATTAAATAATCTATTTTGGTTATCAATAAATTTATTACACCAAAGAACTGTTCATATGAAATTGATGCGCAATATTACTTTCTACAGAAAGATAAGATAAAAAGTTTAAAATTTCGTGAAAAAACTGTATAATTTATTAATCATACATTTAATTAAGCGGATTATGAGAATGAACAGATGGTACGAGTGTAAAAAAAACATCACATATCAGAGACTTGATGGAATATGTAAGTAATTTATAGGATATATAAATTATTTAAACATATATTGATTTAAAATGCTGAATAAAATTTTACAAAACAGGTTCAAGATGTAGTGACTTCTACAATAAAATACAGATTCTGTTTAAATGAAAATCTCTATTTTTTCGAGTAGATGGAATTATTATTGATTGATAACTTAAAATTTGTATAATTAAGTATAAGCCTATGTTGGTTTTATAACGTATTTATTATGTAT